ATGTTTATTGTCTTTTCATTGTAGTCATGGTTTAAGCCAAGGCAAAATGCACTGCCCAAATGCTTCTCCAGTTAGACAGACCCTGTCTCCTTTAAATTGCATTTCATCTGAAATGGACTAGGTCACATGTAATAAATTCTGGCATTTTAATGGAAACATTACAGCAAAAATAGTTAACAATCTGCTTTAATTTCAAAACCAATTTTCCCCTTCATACGGCCAGGCAGTATCTTGGTAAAATGTGCAGCATGCATTGGGATTTAATTATGACAGCAATTTGTTCTGAAGCAAGGCTAACTGGGTTGTCAGTATTCTGGATAAAGGTGTCGGGGGCTTGGCAGCGGGGGAGGATGCTAGTAGCTTGGCGTTCCTGGGTCCTTAATACCATGCGGACCACAGTGGAATCAGAAGCTCTGTGCACATCAGTGGGAGGCCCGGTGCTCCTGGGAGCACAGGAAGAGCCCTTGTACACCAACGTCCCATCCCCATGCGAGGACTGATTTCATGTCTCTCCACTGGATCCAATTCATTAATTCATTTATTCTTGCAACAAATATTTGATTCCCATTGTGCAGGTGTTGGGGATACAAAGGTGAGCAAAAATAAGCAGGATTCCCATCTTAGGAAGGTTATAGGCTAGTGAGGAAAAATACATTCATCAAAGGATGGTACAAATGTATGTACAAGGACAGCTCTGACAACAACTTCAATGAAGGGTCCGTGGTGCCAGGTGAATGTGTAAGAGGGGTGTTCACTGTGGTCGGACAGTGGTGCTGGTAGGCATGGAAGGCCTTGCCCGGGAAGCTGCCTTAGCGCTGGGCTGGGCGGGGAGGGTGGCATGGTGGCGATTAGTCCGGGCAAAGGACAAGTGCACACAGACCCCTGAGGAGGTGTTGCATGCTGGGTCTGAGGAACTCAAGGTGACTCGGTGTGACTGGAGATCGTAGAGCACAAGGGTCTCAAGCCTAGTGTCAGTGGTTTCCGGAGCTGCCCGGCTCTAGTGTCTGGTAGACCCTTCCGAATTCCACCTCCTGACTTCCGAACACTGACCTCCCCGCGTGATTGCTGCGAGTCCCAGGGCCAGTCATCTAGCCTCACTCAGTTGGCCAGTGCCAAATAGGCAGGGTCCCAACCCCTGCGGTACCTTTATCCTTCAGTACATTTGATTCCAGTCAGCGGGCTTTCATTCCTGAGTGCTGTGCTGGGGTTGATATGTTGGATCACTGAAGACTTCGGTAATGTTCACTGTCATGGTTTCTTGTCTTACCCAGGCCAGGAAGAGTTCATTCCTTATCAGTACCACTTCTTGCCCTGAGAAACTCTGAAGCCTATTTCTGAAAATCCACTGCAGCCCCATGAAGGCATCTCCCATCCTCTCTCTCAATTTACTTCGATTAACAAATGAGTGAATGCGTACTTATTGTGCACAGGGCTTTCACCCACTTACTTGTCAGATACCCTTGTAAGGCAAGGGTTATGTTGAGTATTATAAGAATCAGAGGCTCACTGAAGTTAACTTTCCCTAGGTCACCTGGCAAAGAGAAGGTAGCAGAATATCAAACCCAAGGCTTTAAATTCTATGTCCAGTTTTGCCCGCTATATTGGTAAATAAGCTGGTTTTAGACAGCTTGTGGACAATACAGGGGAGGAAAATGGAATTGCATGATGGGAAAGTTTTTTGCTTTTCAATTCTTTCTCAAACACTCTGATCAATCAAGTAGGAAACGTGTTTGGTGTCAACGTGGCTTTGGCACGTGTTTAATGTTTGCTAACTCCCTCGTTACCAGAGAGAGAGAGAGCTGGCTTCAGGCTCTGCACCTTCAACACTCATAGTCTCTAGCAAGAATGTAATAAAATTATTTTGATTTCATCTTCTATATTTGGAGTATCTCATTGTTTTCCCTGTGGTGGTGATATAAAGTTTCCTTTTTAAAAAATTTATTTTTTCATTGATTTCAGAGAGAGAAAGGGAGAGGGAGAGAGAGACAGAAACATCAGTTATGGCAGAGAGTCATTGACTGGCTGCCCCCTGCGCGCCCCCTGCTGGGGATTGAGCTGCAACCCAGGCATGTGCCCTGACTGGGAATCGAACTGTGATTTCCTGGATCCTAGGTTGATGCTCAGCCACTGAGGCATGCTGGCCGGCTTAAAGTTGCCTTTTAAGGAAGAAAATTACAGGAAAAATTAAGTAAAAATACTGAATAAATTATAGGTCTGGCGTATGGGCACAATGATAATTATAATGTGAATGTATATTCATCCGAATGAGCTGGGAACTGTTCCCTTCCTTCACACTGTCTCCCTTGCTCCCGGGACATGCGTGCTTCATGTGATCATTGCAGCCCTAAGTTCTGAATCTGTTCTTTTGTTTGTTTTCCTGGGAAACGTATAGAAAAGATTTTAATGAAAACTATCCCTGTCATTAGGACCATTGAGATATTGTCCTTCTTAAGTTTAAATTTTATAACCCAAATCCACCCAAGCTAGTAATGGAGTCTTAAAACCTAGGAAAAATATGTAAGTTTATTGCAAAAGATAATATCCCATTTAAAACAGTTTAGAAATTTACAAAACCTTACATTATACATAGATTTTAAGAAGATGCTCTACAGGTGAGCTGGTATTAAGTTCCAAGTATAGTGAGTACAATTTTTTTCTTAACTACAGAGAAAGCAGCTACATAATCTCCTGCAATTTAAGTTGACAAATCAGTCTTTTTTCCTTCAATTTTATAAAAGTAATTTTTGCTAAATTAGTGTCTCTCCATGAAACCAAGTACGGCATTTATGTAGATTATCATGGTAGATGTTACATAATATTTTACAAAGAAGTGATTTCCACATGAGTAGATGAATATAAGGTTTTGGTACGTGTATATATGTGGGTTTTGTTTTCTTTTAAACAGAGATGATCATTTTTGTTAGCAGGAAGGCGTTTACTGCATCCTTTTCCCTCATAATGATTTTAAATGTTCAATTTCCAGAAGAGCCCTCCTTCCCAGTTTCAGGTTGGTGGCCCTAGTAAAGTTGTGTTGTGCTTTGGTATAGAATCAGTAGTCTCGTTTGGTTGTATCTCTAGAAATGTCAGCATTTTCTACCCTGATATCATTTTTCAGTTGAGGGTTTATCTGAGGCCCCCAACTTAACATAAGTGTATAAAAACATGCACTTTTTAATTACCCAAGGGTCGGGTTATACCTCTTGTGAGCGTGACCTCAGACACCTCCTCATTATTCCAGGCGAAGTCTGGCGATGGGCCAGCTCAGCTCCGGATCACCCTGCACATGTGATGTTGGACCGTGCACAGAGCTTATAAAGTGGGCAGAATAGGTGTTTCTATCTCAGTTTGAGAATGGACCGACAGGCCCTGAAAGTTTAAACAATTTGTCAAAGAGAGTGGACGAGGCTGTTCTGTTGCCTGGGTCTCTTCATTCCTGAAACAGGGTTATTTTCATTCTAGCATGCTGCCCAAGATTATAAATTAATTTGAAAATTAGTCTAAGGAAAGCGAATTAAGATGGAAGCTCTACTACAAGATAATATTGCATAAAAGATCCCACATGATTTTGCGTTTTTGGATTATCTTCTCTGCTGTTCTTTTCCACTGTCGGGCCAACTGAGAGCTGATTGTGTGGATACAGAAAGATCCCTGGCTTTCAGCCAGTGGTAGCATATCTTATTGAAATGTGGCTTCCTCAGTATGACAAGTGTATTTATCTTAATTCCCACTTAACATTATGGATGCCGGTCTCATTTTGTGGGTTTAAACATTACACTAGAAACAGAACAAGAACATCTTGAATGACATCCCAAGACTTAAATAGAGCAGGCTGAGACTCCTTGCCAAATTCCCCTCTCGCTCTCACTGAAATAGCTTGCGCACTGCAGCGCGTGGCGGGAGCAGGTGCGACTGTCGGAGTGCTTTGCTCAATTCGTCTCAATTTGCAGTGGGGTACGTTCATCCCACGTTCGCCCAGGATGCTGCTCTCTGCAGACTCTACCTCAGACATCTGGTCTTGAGCAAAGGGGGCTATGCAATACCTTCTTCATTGACTGCCATGTTGAGCTTTAGGCTCCCTTTCTAAGCAGCATCAGTCCAACCACAGGCTGGTAGAGAATTTAATGAGAAGGAACAGGAGCCTTACCAACCCCCCCTCATCCCCCAAAGTATGTAGCAGTTACTTAATTGTATTATGTTAGTGGTTTGTTCAGCCATGCAAGTTTGACTGGACCCACATGTAAAGAGGTCTTGTCAAAAGAATGAGCCAGACTTTAAAAGAATTCAGACTTTGGGAATGAAAGGTCTTTAATACTAAAATGGGGGGAAAAAAATCTATTCTCATCCCTAGTCCTGCTGGTTCTTCAATCAGGTGACCATGGCCTGGTCACCAGCAGGGGAGATTATGTAGATTAATATACTTTTGAACCTATCTATAAAGCTACTGCAGGGATGAATGGATGAGAACCGGTGTGTTTTATCTTAGTCTTATTTATGTTATTGGTAAGATGAAACAGACAGGCTGCTGATCTCATGATCTTAAATGTTGCAGGGAAATTAGCTGTGGAATCTTAAAGTTCAAACCCAAACCAGATCCCACGCATTTGCCAAGCGGTCTCAGGCCCCAGGCCCCAGGCCCCAGGCTGAGAAGCATGATGCTCTAAAGGTGGGCTCTGGAGCTACACCTGCGGGGTAGCCACACCGAGTGCCTTATCCCCTGCAGCGACCTTGCTCTGCCACAGACTGGCAGGCCCACACAGCATGAGATGACAAATCCTGGATTTGGGGTCAAGGGGCTATTTTTAAATAAAAATGACCCAACCTACCAGGCGATCTCGAATTTTTTGGCCTGCGCTTTTCTGTCATGCTTAGCTGACCAGTATCTTAGAACACTACAAGTTTATGCATCTGATCTTTTCTGGTGGCTCAGTTTCTAACCCTCTTCTGTCTTCCTGCTCTGCACAGCATTTTTTTCTTCTTTTTGGATGACAAGCCAAGGATGAGAGGAAGTGCTTAGCATCATGGAGATCTTGGGAAGTTGATGGGGGCTTAGCTCGTGGTGGGAATCTAGACTCGCAAACCAGGATGTGTCCTGGGCATGTGTGGCAGGGAACTGAACTAGGCAAGGGGTCACTCTAGGGTCCGTGAAGTCCTCAGTAAGCAGTGGCACTCACTCAGGTGAGGTTGGTGGTCAGGTGCCCCCCAGTGGCTAAACCAGCCCTGAGTCTTTCCTGTTTCACAGGCCAGGTATCTTGCAGCCTGGGGCCTTTGCTAAGAAGTAGAGAAGGCCTGAGGGCAGTGGTCTCCCCACCTTGGAGAGGCATTTGGGGAGGGGATAGGGCATGGTCTCAACACACTCAGATCCACCAGAAGCATTTCTTCTTCACCTTCTTGGTTTTCCGCCGTAAGTCCTGTTTCTCTGGAACAGGGGGTTCTGCTGTTGACCTTGGTGGGGGAGGTGGCTCCTCAACTGGTTCTGCTTCCTCCAGACTCTGTAGAACTTCATGGAACCTGCCTTCCTGCTGCCGAAAATCATATTCTACACTGAAACACGCAGAGCGAAGAAGGAAAGTAAATTCAAATCAGCACATATGAATTTAGCATCATCAAGGGCCCAACTGATATGGAAGAGCATGAGCTTTGACATCCGGTCCCAGATGCTTAGGTACCTTCTGGCTATGTGACCTTGGAAAAATTGTGCCACCTCTCCGTCTATCTATCTATCTATCTATCTATCTATCTATCTATCTATCTATCTATCATCTATCCATCCATCCATCCATCCATCCATCCATCCATCCATCCATCCATCCATCCATTATTCATCCATCATCCATCTATTATTCATCTATCCATCCATCCATCCATCCATCCATCCATCCATCCATCCATCCATCCATCCATCCTTCATCTGTCATCTATTATTTATCCATCCATCCATCCATCCATCCATCCATCCATCCATCCATCATCCATCTGTCCACTCACCCATCCATCTATCCATCCACCCACCCATCATCCATCATCCATCCATCATCCATTATTCATCCATCCATCCATCCATCCATCCATCCATCCATCCATCCATCAATCCATCATTCATCCATCTTTCCACTCACCCATCCATCCATCCATCCAGTCCAACCATCCATCCATCCATCCATCCATCCATCCATCCATCACTCATCCATCCGTCCACTCATCCATCCATCCATCCATCCATCCATCCATCCATCATTCATCCATCTTTCCACTCACCCATCCATCCATCCATCCATCCAGTCCAACCATCCATCCATCCATCCATCCATCCATCACTCATCCATCCGTCCACCCATCCATCCATCCATCCATCCATCCATCCATCCATCCACTCATCCACCCATCCATCCATCCATCCATCCATCCATCCATCCATCCACCCATCCATCCAATCCATTCATCCATCCATCTCATGGCTTCACACTGTGCTCAGTTGTGGCATACAACAAGAAGACAGAGAGACATGGATACTGCTCTTGTGGATCTTACTTCTCAGTGTGTGAGACAGGTGACTAAACTAACAATTGCTTTAAAAATATGGTTTGTATTTATCTCAACTTTAGCTACTTTCCAGTCCTTCATCCATCCACCTCTGCCAAATTATATGAACATACACAAAAACCGCTTTCTTTTTCTCCTTATATGTGACATCTCTCTGACTTCATAATTCAAATAAACAAAAGACAACAAACCACCTGAGTTTGTCAAGACTCACAACAGTGTCCTAATACCAATTAGAAAATAATGGTGTGGGTGAATCTAGAATGTGTACAGAACTGGCAGGCCTGGGGGAAGAAGAGCCAGGAGACAGAATGAAACTGTCCCATCATCATAATTTAAAGTGCAGCCCAGTATAGAGGATAGAGCAAGGGCTCTCGAGTGGAACGCTCCTGGGTTTGAAGCAAGGCCGCACCACTCACTGGCTGCGTGGCCTTGGGGACTCTTTCAGGGACTCAGTTGAGAGTGGAGCTTGTAAAGCCCTGTCACACTGGGTAGTTGCGCAGATGGGACACAATGACAGGTGAAATGTCCTCACGTAGGATATGGTGTCTGCCCACTCACTCCTCACGGAGTCTTTTGTCTTCCTGTGTTATGGGCTGAGTGTCTCCCCTCCTCGTCATACCTGAAGCTCTTCAGTAATTGTATACCTTGCCAGCAGCATCCCTCTTCACCCCTCCCCTCCACATACATTCAGGAAAGGATACAGTCTATGTTTCCATGGAAACCCCGCAGGGTTCCATTATAGTCAGTGCGACTTAGAGATTCCCCTCACCCCTCTTGCAACTGCCCCCACTGATCTTGACAATGGAAAAGGGATTGAAAGTGACTTTCTTTTCAAGGCCAGGCAAAAAGCAGAGTATAGAGAAGTGTGTGTACTTAGGAAAGAAACTGATGAATGTTTTTTAGGCCAAAGCAATATATTAACACAAAGGAAAATTGCCACTTTCCTCTTGTGTTTGACTAACTACTGTTCAGTTTGGAGGAGAGGAGAGGCTCTCACCTTTTCATCTTGAAGCTGGGTTGAGAAGAGGAGATACCCCTCAACTTCCTTCTTAGCCAACCCACACTATATTCAGCAGCCTCTCGAAGAGGGGGACACGTTGCCTACATGGTGAGAATTCAAGGAGAGGGTTGTTTGTGGATTCTGGGGGATGGCCGTCTGCCTTGGGTTTGGTTTCAAGGCGAATAAACACCAGTAACTTTTTTCACCTCCCCTCCCTTTCTCTCCTTCCTCTTAATCTCCCTACCCTACCTCCCACCCTTACCATCTGCTGCCACCTGTATTTCCTGTGGATGAAGAGGACTTGGTTTGTAGAGCTCTGGCTCACAGTGGGGGCAAATGGTGGTCAAGAAATTGTTACAATACAGGATCCAGGCACGGAGCCACTTAGGGAGTGTGGAGCCTTCAAGGTGTGTGAGGTTGGTCCTGTGAGGTTGACACCTGGCTCAGGGCTGCCCATTCACTGTCTAAGGGAGCCTTAGAGCCCTCCCATGTGAGGTGTCTGTGCGAGGTACCGCACTGCCTGTGGAAGGCGAGCTGTGTGCAAGCCAGGCATGGAAGAGAGCTTTCAGGGGTACCTCTCAGGGGCACCTACTAATCCTGCAGACAGGTCAATTCTCCAGCCATTGCGCCAGGTGAGAGGGAACTGGATGCAGTGGGATGCCTAAGTCATGGTTTGTCTGGGAGAAGAAATAGTGAGAAGCCAAAAGTAGATAAATACATTAAGCAAAGGACAGAAGCTGGTTCCGGGGGCGGTAGCTTGGCTGGGCAGAACAAAGTTGCATATGCCAGAGAGAGAGAAAGCTTATATAGAAACAAAGGAACACTAGAAACCCCTTATTTTTATATAGCACTTTCAAACCGCAAACACCTCAGATCTGCGTTTCCATTTTACCCTCATGATGGCCCAGGAAGATGGGGAGGTTGTTGTTCCCACTTGACTGACAAATGAGATGGCAAAGAGATGTCACTCTGTGCATTATGATTGGAATCTGAGCCTGGTTGCCAGGCTCTTCGTCCTCTGTTTCCCTGAAGTGGGATGGCATGTTTTAGCACAGGGCCCGGCTCTTCCAGGGCCTTGATCTAGGGCACCCTGTTAGGTGATGCATGCCAGTTTAAAGTAATAATAATAATAATAATAATGAGGGGGGATGAGAGGAGGGAGAAGAGGAGGGGGGAGAGGGAGGAGGGCTGTCATTCATGGGGTGAAATCTATATTGTAGACACCGGGCTGCAAGTTCAATAATTGCTACATGTCTCATGTAATTCTCACAGCCCCGTTAGATAGATGCTATCTTCGTTCCATAAATGAGGAAACTGAGGCAAGGGCAGGTTAGGGGCACACACTAGTAAGGCACAGGGATGGGATTTGAGCCAAGATTGTCTGGGCCCAAAGCTGGTGCACTAAGGCAGACCGCGCTGAAGAGCACAGTAGTCTGTGTCTGTGCGAGATCCTGGCTGCCAGATGTGTGTGGGGTGGGGGTGCCGAGGTGGTGGTGACCGAGGCCTGGTGCACTGAAATGACCTCCCAGTCCCTTGTGAAACCAGACCCACTGTGGAGCTGGGCTCCATGGAGGACTCTTTATGACCCCATGGACCAGCCCACCTGCAATGGTGTTTCCAGATGGCAGGGCAATGCTGGCAGGAGGCTGCATAACCAGAAGAGATGAGCACCCCCTTAGCAGGCAGTGGACTCAAAGTAATATGGGAGCTCAGCCATCTTGAGTGTGGTGGGTGCTGAGGTCTGCGGTGGGCCCCTGCCCTTCCTTCTCAGCAGGGGGCTTGGTCTTTTATAAAGAGAAACGGACAAGCCACTGGCACAAACCATGTACTCCAAGCAGTTGGCTGAGAAATTAATGACCCATGGCACCCCTCCAAAGACAGAACATCTTCCAGGTCCCTCTCTACCTCCTTACCTCTACGAGTGTTTCTGTGGCCCTCACCATAGAACCCAGGGGCACCACAGACTTACCCCTACAACTTTCTCCTCTACAGAATTAGCTGTCAGCACCCATGGAGTCAGCAAGGGCAGTTTGGTCCCTGCCCACTTGTATAAACCACATCAGTTTGGAAAGTGTCTTTGGAGAAGGATTCCAGTCTGGGAAAGTAGGAGCTTTAGTTACTCTCTGCCCCCCATTCCTGAAACTTTCTCCTAATAACCAGTTTGCTGGTTATTTATAGGGTGTCATTTTAAGCTTCACAACTCACAGGCATCTCAAGTTGGCAAGGGCACCCCTTCCCCTAGGGCATCTGTCTGCTGACAAGTCCTCAGGGAACCGCAGGTTCTCCTCTGGGCACTTGAACAAGCAGGACAGAGCTGCGGGAACCGTCACTGCTAATCACTAGCTGTGAGAGAAACTGGTGCTCTGGGGCAAGAAGGCCTTCACACCCAGCCCTCAGAAAGGACAGGTCACCTCAGGAGACTTGAACACATGTGTTCAGATTATACAAGGTCAAATGCAAGAGGGGATGGGACAGGAAAATCTCCCCAAAGCAGGACCTGTTTAAGCCCTGCCTCTGTTGGATCTTGGACAAGTCACCTAACCTCTCTGGGTCTCAGTTTCCTCATCTGTAAAATGGGAATAAAAACCATACTCATATGTTAGGGTTGTTGGGAGTCAGAGATGAGATGCTGCATGTACAGTATTTAGCAAAATGCCTGGCCCAGTGCCTGGTACAAGTGGTAATGATCGTTACATTGACTTTACGGAGAAATAAAGACTGGGTCATTCTGTGGTCAGCGGTGGCCTCTGCGCCAGCAGCCATTTGTTTGTTATTCCTGGGAAATTCCCAGCTCACTTGATTTTATATTTATGGCATGTTTCAGCCTCTTTAGCTATTAATGCATTAAAATAGATTTCATCTTTATTGCAGATAAATTGCTGATGCTCTAAACCCTCCTTCTTTTCCCTTACACTCTGAGGAGAAGGGAAGGATAATGCACTACTGAGAAAAACAGAGTAGAGGAAGATGTCTTGGGATCAAACTATCAGGGCTCAGAGGAATTTCCACACATACCCCAAACTTTTATGCCTATTTCTGAAAGAGGCAGCCTGAGCTATGTTTGGGGGAGGCTGGTTGGTATTGCTATGACATGTATGGTCCAGCATTTGAAATGAGTGCTGCTCAGTCTACGTTGAAATGTGGAGAGCTGCAAATGTGTCTGTGATTACTGGAAAGAACAGATAGGCTGTGTCCTTTGTAGGTATTTTTCACTGGAGACTTCACTCTTGGCCAGAGAGAGAACTGTGGCTGGAAGACATGGCTCTCGCAGTCACCTGGCTCCATGGTGGGAGAGCGTCCTAAACAGACCCAAGGAAAATACTAAATAACTGAAGCAGAAAGTTGGTTACTAAACCCACAGGCCTGGGTGCATATTACATTTCTAGTGAAATACCTTGTTCTCTGGTTAGCTAATAGCTTTAAGGGGCAGGCAAGGCCAAGAACCAGTGTCTGAAAAGCTTAACCATAGAAAGAAACTCATGGAAGGCTCACGACGCCACCAACCACGTGACTCCAGGTGACTCATGTAGCTCTCAGGAGGGTGAAGGCCTGGCTTTTCTCCTGCAGGGCTCTCAACTATAAGGCTTAGGCCTTCGTTCCAGAGAGTTCTGAATATCAAAATTGGTGAATCTGAGATGCCTTTGAGATAGTTAGTTGGAAATATCTAGTTTATAGATATGGTTAGGAGAGAGAGAAGAAAGAGGTGGGGAAAGACGGTAGTGCCATAAGACATCAACTTAAAATCCATGAATACAGTTGAAACCATGGAAAGAGGCTAAGAATGAGAAGAGGAGACCGCCTATCCAGGTGCACCCTTAGACAAAACAACAGCTCTTCTATTTCTCTCTTCTCTAGCACCTTTCAAATCTCACAGCACCAACCTCTCCCTTCAGCCATGAAAAATGCTAAGTTTGCAGCGTGCTCTTTATTTCCATTTCCTAAGCAACATGCTGGGATGGTAGATGAAAATTTATTCTGAGAAACACTTCCTATTCTCTTCCCTCAAAACACTTCATGTATTTTACAACGTAACCCAAGAAGATTTTTTTCCTGGGAGCTATGTCCAGAAAACAAATGTGCGGTTGGAGTAGTCAAAGTCCTCCAAAGAGCTCAGCGATGGTTTTCAGAGTGAACTCGAAGATGAGGTACAGGGAGACATGGCTGGAGGAGCAGGGAGAGGAGTGGGGAAGGACGGAAGATGCGGCTTGGGGGAGGCCTCGTGCCCTTGAGAAGAAGAAAGGAAGCTGATTCCTCAGGGCTCCATTTCTTAAACTTCAAACATTTGTTCAGCATCTTCATGGTTTTTGTGAAACTCCCCACATCAAATATTTACTTAATGTTTTTCCTCTCTAAATCAATTTTCTTTTTAACTTAAAAACGTGTACAAAATAGTCAATACCACTTTCGAAAGTGGAGACCTGCATGATTTACAATGAATATTTAGGGGGACTAGTTTTAGAATTTAAAACCATCAATAAAAAAATTTAAGATGATTACATTCTGGCTAGGTACCGTTGCTTGCCTATAGCTATGAACCTGAGAGCTGCTGTCTCTTGGCAAAGAAGTAGCTACATAAGCATAGGAAAGGGTTTGAAGACATTCCAGCACCAAAAACCAATTTTCCCCTCCAGGTAATCACAGGATTGAAATAAATTTGGAAAGAGAAACAGCCTTCTCACTCAGTTATCCAATATTATTTAATCTTAGGTGCTATAGGTGGCATTCACCCAATGCTTTGAGAAATCTGCTCTAGAATCAATGCTAAAGATCGGTGAGGATTGTGACTGGGGACTAAACAGCCTGGAACCAGCTTAGGCATAGAGCCAATTTTTGCCCCCTCCCCTTGGAGCCTATGGTATTCAGAACTCAGAGGAGTCCATTCTCCCTGGTGTAAGAAATCCCTTGAGAGCCCCCGGGAGCCATACATGGAGTCCTTAGGCATCTGTGTGGCGCTGTGCTTGTTGGTGAGACGGGATCTAGGGAGGTTGTCTATAGTAAGAAGAAAGTCAAGGAGACTGGGGGCTGGGTGGGTGGGACACAAAGGCTCTTCTTGGAAGAGAGAGACTGAGTTGGACAGAACGGATGACCTCACATGTCTCGGTGGAGGCAAGCAGCATTAGTCATAGCCTTCGGCTGATGGGGCCACTTAGGAAACCTTATGTGTTGCTAACTTAGCAGCAGCATCTTCAGAGAAGAACACCCGGCAGGCAGTTCATCCTGAGCCCCTGCACTTTATGTACAGTGACGTGTACTGGGCCCGTCATCAGGGTGGGGGATTGCACCCAACAAGGCCAGAGGATGGGTATTTCACATTGCTTATTCATTAGATTGTAAGATCTGACTTTCTAGGACACAACACAGAGTTTGCAGTCGTTTGAAATGTTAAAAAAAAAAAAAAAAAGACTACTCTCATCTCCCCACTGTTACTATGATGGGGATGTTTTTCTGATCTCTCTGCTTTCATCAGATTAATTGCCTATTCCTTTGCAATGGCTCAGATACAAGGATACAGATACTGTCTGCGAGATCAGTCTGGCTTTGAATGGTAATGAGGAGTGGATGTACACAATCGCTGCCTCTCTTGGAAAGCTGGAAAGGGATGTGTGCACGAAGGTTTACTAACCTTTCCAGGGGTGTAAATTAATTTAGACTGTTTGCTTGGGATGTTTGAAGTAGCTACGGGAAAAATACAAACATATGCGAACATTCTCAGATGTGTAGGAAGGTCATAGGGTAGCCAAATATTGCCACTTTTAATTGAGCATAGAATACCTGGGTGTCAGAGCTGAAAGGGACCAGAGGGACCCTCATTGTTCAGATGAGGAAACTCAGAGGCCAGAAATGATCTGCTCGGGGTCGGGCCATAAACTCACAGTAGCCTGGGAAACAGCCACTTGTCCTTTTCATTTTCATAAGCTAAATAGAAAGTTACCTTAAGGTTATAGAAAGTATGTCATCTGGCTGATGAAGAAAAGAGACTGTGGGAAGTTTGAATAGAGATTAGTATAATTGTTTAAATGAACAGTTTTGGTCCTCTCTAGCTGTCTAGACTTTTAATAATTTCTTCCTAGAGCTTAGACAATTTGCTTAAGATAGATGTAAGAAAAAGGGGCAAAATGTAGCAGTGGATGAGACTGCCTGCTTGCATTTTCCAATGTCACAAGCCTTTTACAGGGGATTTTTTTGAGGGGATCTTTTACACCAAGACAAAGGGCATTTTCTGTACTCAGTCCTGAAGCTTCTGTCATTTGGTGACAATATGTAGTTCTGTGGCTTCTAGGTGTAAGGAATTGATATTTTAACGAAAAAAAAAAAAAAAAAA